TCGAACTCCTGAGCTCAAACAATCCGCCCGCCTCGGCCTCCCAGAGTGCTAGGATTACAGGCGTGAGCCACCGCGCCCGGCCCATACCTTGCCATTTTAATCGCAATTCCCCTTGCCTCTATCCTGTACTCTAAATGTAAAGCACAGAGGTGGTCTGGGAGGTTAACTAGTCTTGATTCTAGTGAGCAGAATGGAGCCACATCAAGTCAGTCCCCCAAACTTCCTTCTGGCCCTGAGCTTCCACAGTGCTATGGCTCCATGTGTGCAGAAAGATTATGAAGTGTAACCGGCTGTCCTGACATGTATTTTATTGTCATTCACTTTCACTTAGTTGTGAAATGTGCTCCAGTAGTGCAAAAGATGACATTAGGGCACTCATTAAAACAAACAAAGAATCATATGCCCCAGGGGATAATGGAAGATCTCATTGTCTCTCATTGTCACTAAGAGTCATCTTTTTTTCATTGCCCTCTTGAAGTAATACTCTCAAGTAAGATTAAAAATAAGAAAAAGAAAAGCAAAACTATACTTAACGATAAAATAGAATTTAGCAACTTTACTTTTACATCTTTACGAATATATTTTGGAAAACTTGGATGTATTCCGCTGGAATGATGTGTGGATATATGTGTTTCTTTTGTCAGTTTCTGTATTCTCGCATATTGAGATCATTTATAATTTAAAATACAACTGGAATCAGATCCTACATATAATTCAGCTTATTACTCAGCCTTATCCATTTCGACAAAAAGATATTGCTACCATAGGAGTCTCTGCTGTGAATAGCTACAATGGAACAATTTTATGATACTGTATATAATTTGTTTTTTTGTGAATATCAGATACTTTTTCTATTTTCCTTTTCATAAAGGTAACATTTATTAGAATATTATTCTAAAGGACTCCATGTGGCATTTTAAGCATCTGGCTCAGATGCCACAACTGTATTTGCTACAATAATTTCCCTGACCCTATTGTGTTACATGATTATCAGTTGTACCTTCTACTGTGGATATCCTAAAAATAAATCCATATCTCAGTAAGAGCAAAGAGTTTGATCAAAATTTGCAAAATGATTTCAGGGTTTTCAAATGGAGCAAATTTTGCACCTAGTTTCGATATTTTTTAGAGTCAATAGGGAATGTGTCACTCTAATATTCACAGGTCAGAGAATCAAGCAAGTCCTATAATTGTAGCCAGAAAAGATCTTGTTCTAAGTGGCTGTTTTATTTGCACCGGTCTATCAAGCCGTATAATTATGCTTGACTGACAGACACGATGTTATTGTTGGTAGCATAGAACCCTCTGAGGTGTGAAACACGACCCGGTCGTGCAGACTGTTCTGTCCCGTCCACCTTTAACAATTGTCAACTCTAGAATCTTGTTGACAGATGAATGAAGCAGACTTAGCCAACTTAAGCTTACAGTGCTATTTCTGTCAATGTGGTCGATGAATTAGAAAGAGAAATCTCTGTAAAACTTTTAGGTGAAAAACTGATAACTTTACTTCATCTCGAAAATATGGTAGGATTTTTAAGTCAAAAGTAAATCTTTTCCTAATATACTAATAACTACAATTTATAGCAAGTACCTACCATGTGCCACTTCACATACCATCCCTGTGACCCATTTTACAGGGATGGAAACTGAGGCTAGTCAAGTAATTTGCCCAAGAATGTACATCTAGGAAGAGGCAGAACTGGAGTTTGAACCCAGGTCTGTTTCTGTTCAAAGCCCATTTTCCCCCTATTTCTACAAGAGGTTTTTCAGGCAAATAAGATTTAAATGTTACCACCTTTTTTGTTAAGTATCCTCTTTCTTGTATCTTATCCTATTCTTTATCATTTATGGTTCATGTTAAGCCCTTCTTAGTTATTTGTAGATCTCAACATCTAGTTTGTGCTCTTCTATACTGCCAGTTACTCAAAAAAACCCCTCATGAATCATCTAATTATCTAACAGAAGCAAATTATGTGGCCATATGAGCTTTGCCTCTG